TTCCTGGTCTCTGGTCCCTGGTCTCTAGTCCCTGGTCTGTGGTTCCTGGTCTCTGGTTCCTGGTCTCTGGTCTGTGGTTCCTGGTCTCTAGTCCCTGGTCTTTGGTTCCTGGTCTCTGGTTCCTGGTCTCTAGTCCCTGGTCTTTGGTTCCTGGTCTGTGGTTCCTGGTCTCTGGTCTGTGGTTCCTGGTCTCTAGTCCTGGTCTATGGTTCCTGGTCCCTAGTCCCTGGTCTGTGGTTCCTGGTCCCTGGTCTGTGGTTCCTGGTCTCTGGTCTGTGGTTCCTGGTCTCTAGTCCCTGTTCTGTGGTTCCTGGTCCCTAGTCCCTGGTCTGTGGTTCCTGGTCTCTAGTCCCTGGTCTGTGGTTCCTGGTCCCTAGTCCCTGGTCTGTGGTTCCTGGTCTCTGGTCTGTGGTTCCTGGTTATTGTGTCTACCACTAGGTGGCGTTCCAGAATAGGATTGAGAGCAGAGAGATAAAAAGGGTAGAAGAAGAGCTAAGAGGCGGAAAAGCTTATGTTATTGTACTGCTGAGCAAGTTGTGAATAAAAGCTGTTAAGAGTTATTTCTCTACTGAGATTCTACCTCGTCCTACCTACCAAACATAACAATTGGCGACGATGACGTCTCTACCCATGCCTGCACCGTTCCTGCCCTGCAGTGGAGAACCTACGGTTCCGTTTTCTACGTGGCGGAAGATGTTCGAGAACTACTTAACGGCTATTCATGCTACTGGAAATTCCTGGTCTGATGCTAGACGCCGTGCTCTACTAATTCATGCTCTTGGCTTCGAAGGACAACGTTTATTTTACACCTTACCTAACGTCGGCAATACATATGAGGAGGCAATGACGGCGTTGGAACTACAGTTTGCTCCAAAAGTAAACGTTGTTGTGGCAAGACACCAATTCCGACAGAGAACGCAGATGGCGGATGAAACTGTGCCTCAGTACATGGCTGCTTTACGTGAGTTGGTTATCACCTGTGCTTATGGAACCATGGAGGATGAGATGCTACGGATCAGCTTATTGAGAAAGATTATTCACCGGAGGTGAGAAACAGACTTTTATTAGAATGTTCGCTTACGTTGGACACCGCTGTCACACTGGCGTGTCAAGTGGAACATGCTCTTCATGCATCCAAACTCCTCAGTGAAGCTACTCCTGTTCATATGGTTACCCAGCGCGGATCTACTCAACGGAAGACTAGAAACCGGCAAGCCGTTTCTAAAAATAGCCACACGCGCACAGTACAGCAGACAGCGCGAGCCTGTTATCGATGTGGATCGACAAATCACCTGGCGAATGCACGAGACTGCCCTGCGGCCGCAGCAAAATGCAACAGCTGTGGTAAAACTGGACACTTTTCTAAAGTTAGCCTCTCAGCTAAACAAGTTAGAGAAGTAATGCCTGAAGTGGCTGTGCTCATGTTGACCTCAAAAGAAGTTAACACTACTGATAGATTGATTTGCAAAGTGAACATTAAAGCTATGTCAGGGGAGTCTACTGACTGTGAATTACTGATTGATACAGGATCATCTGTTTCTATCATACCAGAGACTCTGTACAACAGACATTTTCCTGAGAGTCGTCTAACTGCACCTCATGTGAAATTAGTCACTTATTTGAAAGAGGACATCCCTGTAATAGGATGTTTGGAAGCCACAGTTACCCTTGACAACAACACTGCTCCTGCTTCTTTGTATGTGGTTCAAGGAGGATCTGCATTACTCGGAATGGACCTAATAAAAGCACTGAAATGGACAATTAACCACAATTCATTCCATGTTCCACCTCCTGAACAAGTTTCTTCTGCCGCACCTGTGTTACAAACAGACTCTGCTTCTATTGGCTGCGTTGCTGGGTTTGTGCACAAAGTTAAAGTACGTGAGGATGCAGTTCCAGTTCAGCAAAAACTCCGACGTCTTCCATTTGCAGTACGAGAAGCTGTGTCAGAGGAGCTGGATCTGCTTCTGAAGGAGGGCATTATCGAACGCATTGATGCTTCTCCCTGGATTTCTCCTATTGTGGTTACAACAAGAAAAGGAGGCAGACCAAGATTATGTGTTGACTTAAGAAAACCGAATAAAGCGATTGTTGCTGACAGTTACCCTTTGCCTCACATGGATGAACTATTAAGTGAGCTCAGGGGTGCCAATGTTTTCTCTACCATAGATCTGGCATCTGCATACCACCATCTTCTACTCACGGCTTTCATTACACACAAAGGACTTTTCCGCTACTGCCGTGTTCCCTACGGGTTGGCCTCTGCTCCCTCTGCATTCCAAAAAATGATGTAAACTGTGCTTAAAGGGCTACCTGGTGTGCACAATTACTTGGATGATGTAATTGTTGCAGGATCTTCTCTAGAGGAACATGACAGACGCCTGCGTGCTGTGCTCCAGCGTCTCACAGATGTAGGTCTGACACTGAACATGCAAAAATGCACATTTAAACAGTCCAGCCTCAAATTTCTTGGCCACATCATTTCCAAAGACGGCATTCTTCCTGATCCGGACCATAGTGCAGCTGTCCGTGATGCCCCACCACCACATGATCTACCATCTCTGCGCTCCTTCCTGGGTTTAATTTTCTGGTACAGTAAATTCCTTCCCAATTTTGCCACAGTAGTGGAACCAATGCGGGCTGTACTGAGAGAAACTGTTGACTCTGGTTTCATATGGACTGAAGGAGCTGATCAAAGCTTTAAGGAACTAAAAGAGCTTTTACTGAACAGTCCTGTTCTTGCTCTTTTTGACCCATCTCTACCAACCATTGTCACCACAGACGCGTCAGACTACGGACTGGGTGGTGTGTTGACCCAAATACACCCAGATAATACTGAACGCACTGTGGCATTTGCGTCTCGAACTCTGAGCCCTACTGAACGAAAGTACTCTACAGTGGAATAGGAGGCTCTTGCTTGTGGGTGGGCTGTGGAAAAATGAAGGTCTTACTTTGGGGCCGACATTTCACACTAAGAAACTGATCATCAGGCACTGACAACACTACTCGCTACCAAAGGCATTGGGCGTGCTGGAATGAGAGTTGCACGCTGGTCTGCACGTTTACTGTGCTTCACCTATGATTTGAAATACAGGCCTGGATCACAAAACCAGGCTGCAGACTGTTTGTCACGGTTGCCACTCCCTATGGACTCTACTCCTGTAGATGAACCTGACATGGTTGCATCCATTGTGTCAGCTCTGTCTGTTGATGAGTTAATTTCTGCTTCCTCTCAGTGCCATGAACTCACACTCCTCCGTGGACAGATAGAGAAGGGCTGGCCAAATGCAAGAAGGCTGTGGACCCGGTCTTAATGCCATACTTCCACATCAGGAATGAACTTTCTGCATCTCAGGATCTGATCACGAGTGGTGAACATTGATACAATGTTCCTGTTGCTTTACGTGCTACTGTCATTCATCTGGCACATGAAACACATCAAGATGTTGTTCGCACAAAACAGAGACTACGTGATCTTTACTGGTGGCCTCAGATGGACAAAATGGTTCAGTCTGTTATTTCTTCATGTACTACCTGCCAAATGAATGACAAATCTGCTCAAACTGCTCCTGCTCCTCTCCAACCCATTGCACTGCCGAACAGGCCATGGGAGAAAGTGGCTCTGGACATTGTGGGTCCCTTTGAAACTGCTGCTTCTTCATGTAGGTTCGCTATAACATTAGTGGACTATTACAGCAAATGGCCAGAGGTGGCGTTTTCTCACTCTGTAACTGCTGATGTTGTTGTTACATTTATGCGCTCTATTTTCAGCAGAGAGGGGAACCCTGACTACATAGTCACTGATAATGGGCCGCAGTTTCTTTCCACCTCTTTTGCAGAGTTTCTCAGAGAAAGGGGAATATCTCATCTGCGTACAAGTGTGTACCATCCACAGAGTAATGGTGCTATCGAAAGATGGAATAGAGTTCTTAAGGAGACAATCCTAACTGCTGAACACATGCAGAAAGACTGGAAAACTACAGTGACTGATTTCCTACAAAACTACAGAGCAACACCACATATCACAACTGGAGTATCTCCATCAGAACTACTGCACAACAGGAGGATGAAAACAAAAGTGAACATCTTTCCAAATCCAGAGAAAAGCAGAAAATGCACTACAGCCCAAGAAACAGTTAAACAGAAACAAAAGAAGTCTAAACAGTATACTGACAAACGCCGTGGAGCAAAGACACCAACATTCAAACCAGGAGACTTGGTGAGGGTGAAAAGACCTGACCGTGTTCGTAAAGGCTCATCAAGATTTACTCCACCGCTGTCTGTTGAAAAGCAGATTGGAGGAAGTACTTATGTACTCAGTGACAATAAAAGGTGGAATGCTGCCAGACTTTCACATTACTCTGCAGGTATTCCATGTAAAACGATAAAACCAGAAAAGCGTGACCCTGTGGTTCGAAATAAAAGGGCCAGAACTGCTGCTTGATCTGTGTGGTACAAGGACTTTCAACCAGGTTAAAAGAAAATATTAATATGTAAATACATAAATGCTTGTGTTACATGTTTAGGGTTCAGGTGAACTAATTTTCATTACAAACAAACTGGCTACAAATGCCTGAGTTTTAATTGTACAATAGTTACATTTGGTAATTCTGTTCCATAGTAACTTCAAGTTTTAGAGTTTAAAAGTACAGGGTTGCTGAATATATTTGTTTGGTTTTGTGTACTTAATTGACCACCTACTTTGATTGCAACTAAGGTTATCTTTGTGTTGTACAAACTGTTAAATGAAGTTGATGTTCAGTCATATGTTAAATGGGTACATGCAATCTTTTCAAGTAAGGGGGGAATGTTGTGTCTACCACTAGGTGGCGTTCCAGAATAGGATCGAGAGCAGAGAGAGAAAAAGGGTAGAAGAAGAGCTAAGATGGCGGAAAAGCTTATGTTATTGTACTGCTGAGCAAGTTGTGAATAAAAGCTGTTAAGAGTTATTTGTCTACTGAGATTCTACCTCGTCCTACCTACCAAACATAACACTGGTCTCTAGTCCCTGGTCTGTGGTTCCTGGTCCCTGGTCTCTAGTCTCTAGTCCCTGGTCTGTGGTTCCTGGTCCCTGGAAAATCCTCCCTGAAAGTAATCACATCCTGATTGGGTTCCTCTGCACCATCACCTTAATCTGGAGCTCTGAGTGTAACAGGTTCTGGTCTGGGCTCCAGCCAGTCCTGTCCAGAACCGCTCCGAACCTCGTTTGGTTTGAAGTTTCAGGAGAGACAATCTGGTCTCATTCACAGGAAGGTCTGGCCCAACAGGGTCAAGAACCTCTAGATCCGCACCGGACCCGATTTCCGGTTTTTCATCCTTCAGCCCCTCTACGGGTACTGAGGTTCTGATCCGGAACCGGACAGAAACGGTTTAGAGTCTCGGATCTTGTCTGAAAGCTCGTGAATTAAGCGCAGCGAGTCTGCTCTCCTGCGCCCCCTGCTGTACGCTGATTGTTGCCCCCATTAAACTGAATTAACTTTAGTTTATTTACTCACAGTAAAAGTCCACAAACAGCCGCAGGTCTCGGAACCGAGCCCGGACAAACCGCAGGTCCTTCAGAGTCTCTGTGGGGTACCGGTACCGACACTGGCCGGAGGAGGAGGTTCTGTTAGCAACGACCCTGAACTTGGACCCGGTTCGGTTTGTTCAATGAAGTTTCTCTCACCTCCGTCAGAGTCTGTTGCTCCGCTTCCTGTGAAACCAGAGGCATGTTAAAGCAGAACCGAGCCCAGAACCATTTTACATTCAGAACCACATCCCAACAAGCTAACAGCGGCCAAACTGGGAACGTCACTTCCGCTTCAACACCGCCACACAAACCAGAGCCTTTAAGAAGCCGGAAGTTACCTCAAGGCTGCTGATCAGCGCCATCTTGGTCAGGGCGCGAGATCTGAACATAATATAACCCTAAGCAGTTAAAAGTTTCAATCATTAAAAATAATGATTGAAACTTTTATTGAAAGCTGTACATCAGTCCCAAGAAGAAAACACCTGAGTCAAGCAAACTGTCCTGTTGCTGCGTAGCATTTTATCAAGTTTATTCATATTTATCATGAATGACCCACAGGTCATGATGGTGAGCAACAGCAGGTGGGACTTGCACTTCGCTCTATGAAGAGACCTGAAGGTGGTTCCCCAGCAAACGCCTGGTACGTGAGGATGAAAACAACCAGAACCAGAACCCGTTTTCACTCCAAATCATAACGCTAATAAGGACTTTCATTCTGAAAGGACTGATTCCAGATGACTTCCTGTGACATTATTTATTGATCTAATTTGAACAGAAACATCCAGATCTCAGCTGACCAATCACATTCCACACAGTTTAGAAACTACAATCCCCATCAGCCTCAGAGAAGGTGGGCGTGGCTTCCTCAGATGGGCGTGGCCCTCCACTCCTTGCCTTCAGTCAGCGCTCTGGGTTGGTGGATGAACACGCTGTAGCGGACGCCCTGATTGGCGGCCGCCCTGACGAAGCGGCTGTTGGCTGTCATGGTGACAGCTCTCAGGAAATCTCCGGTTCCGAAGATGGCAAGCGAGCGGCGGTTGACCTTGGCACTGGGCGTGAGGCGGCGGCTGCGCTCCGACGGCTGGTCGTCCACCAGGTGCAGGCGTGCCAGGAGCGTCTGAGCGCGCTCCTTCTCGCCCGGCCCGCCCAGCGTGTCCAGGATGGCGCGAAAGTCGGTCACGGCGGCGCGGCAGACGAACAGCTCCTTGCCTGCCATGAAGGCGTCAAGGCTGGGCAGAACCGGCCACCGGCGCTCCTGGGCAGCCTGCTCCGTCAGGACCGGCTCCCGGAAGCTGAAGTGGCAGCGACCGTGGCTGAGCGCCGACACGTAGGCGATGAGCGTGGTGATGTCCAGGTTGACCCGCCCACACTCCTCTGGCGGCGGCGGCAGTGGAAATGCCAGGCGAGCCAGCACCGTGCCACGCTGCACCTGGGTCAGACCAGACGCCAGCTCTCCCTCTGGGTCATCTGGGTCGGCCTCCTCTTCCTCCACTTCTTCCTCATCCTTCTCCTGCTCATCCTCCACCCTCACCGCCACAATGTCGCCCCTCACCGCCACGCCCAGGTGCCGCAGCCGGTCGGCCATGGGGCTGGACACGCCGTTGTAGAAGGCGAAGACGACGTGGGGGTGGCGGTAGTTGACGGGCAGCTGGCGGCTGGCCAACAGGAAGTCCTCCGCCTGCCGTACCACGCTCTTGTCTCCGTACTGGCCCCGCCCCTGCCAGATGTTGTGCAGCGCCTCTGCCTTGCGGCCCACCGCCTTCACCCAGGTGAGTCCCGCGTCGGCCACCACGTCCACCACAAGTGTGCGCCGGCGGCCGGCGGCGTCCCGGTAGCTGAAGACGTGCAACAATGCCACAACATCCTCCAAGTCCTGCGCCGAGTCCACGATGGCGGTAAGGTGGGTGAGGTTGGTGCTGTGCAGGTGAGACTCCTTCACCTGCAGCTCTCCGGCTTCAACCCGTCGCAGGAAGCGCAGCTCGGCCCGCAGCTTGCCGCACAACTTCTGGTGACCTTCAACCCCTGGACAGAGATGCTCCGCCCGCTGCAGCAGCGCCTGGGCCGAGCTGATCCGGTCCCGCAGCGTGGCCTGAAGGGACATGTCTGCTGCATCACACCTGGAGACAGAACCAGACGTTGGATCAACTCAAAGAGACCAGTAACTGGACCACGGACATGATGACAGATGTTTATCTGTTCACAGCTGACCTGGAGCTGGTTGACAACAGTTTTATCACCTGTTCTTATCAGGTCCCTTCACTTCTCTAGAAATGTTCTGTTAGACCTTCCTGGTCAGAACCAGAACTTATTTCCTGGTAAAGTTTATTATTATGAAATCATAATAATCAGAAATAAGACAAAACCTTCTGAGTTCGGACAGGGTTTCCAGAACCATGGGTTCTGGAAGTAGAACTAGAGAAAATATTTGGGTGGGAACCTGCTACCGGAAACATCATGAGGGTGGTACTGATCCACAGAGCCTCTAGGTACCGGACCGCTCACAACCACATTATGGTAAATGGCTTCATATAGCTGCTTATCTAGTCCAAAGAAACACAAAGCTTCTACAGTTATTCACTCATTCATCCATTCACTCACAGGCTGATGGTGGAGAGATACCTGCAGCCTGACAGAGGCCAGGCTGGGCAGGTACCGGTCCAGAACCAGTCATCAGTGTGGACCACGTGTCTTCTAGGACAACTGAAGCTGAAGTTGGTCCCGATTCGGAAAATGGCTAAAGGGCGATTCCACCTCATTTTCACTACCTTCCATCTTTAATGGATTCTAGTTTAAAAACTGCAACAACTGGACTCTTCAAACCTGGACTGGACTCTTCAAACCTGGACTGGATTCTTCTACTCTAATAGCAGAATATTTAGATCCATGTTTGGGATTTATGAAACTTTTTTCTGATTTGTGAAACTTTACTTCACAGCCCACTGCAGAAGGTTTTTCCTTCCACAGCCATCACCATCTACAATAACTGAAGAATTAATTAGTTATACCAACATTTAATTCCCATTGAGATTAATAAAGTGGTTTTGAATTTGTGCATGGAACAAGTGTGAATAGTAATCTAAACTTGAGTGAAGTTTCATAAATCCCAAACATGGATCTAAATATTGTGTTATTAGAGCAGAAGAGTCCAGTCCAGGTTTGAAGAGTCCAGTCCAGGTTTGAAGAGTCCAGTCCAGGTTTGAAGAGTCCAGTCCAGGTTTAAAGAGTCCAGTCCAGGTTTGAAGAGTCCAGTCCAGGTTTGAAGAGTCCAGTCCAGGTTTGAAGAGTCCAGTCCAGGTTTGAAGAGTCCAGTCCAGGTTTGAAGAGTCCAGTCCAGGTTTGAAGAGTCCAGTCCAGGTTTGAAGAGTCCAGTTGTTGCAGTTTTTAAACTAGAATCCATTAAAGATGGAAGGTAGTGAAAATGAGGTGGGATTGTAAATCTCATGGCTCCTTTATTACTGGAGAAATTTGTATTTGACTGTAAGCTGTTTTGCACTGGATGCATAAACAATAAAATGTATAAACCAACTACGGCCATTTAATAAATTGTTAAAGATGGGAAATGACTCCAAGTGCTCTGGTCGTTTTTACCATCATTTCTAATGTTCAGTGTGATGTGGCTGTTCAGAACAGCCACATCACTGAACACCATATTTAACCCCTGATGGCCAAACTGCCCAAACTCCTGTTGATGCCATGATAATCCGTGACGTCACTGTACATCACGTCACAGAGAAACTATTTTTCTGCCTCTTCGCCTCCATCCGAGTGGATTTATAACAACATTTAATCACCTTATTGGTCACAGATTTTGATGCAACACCTGTACCAACACCTGTTCTAGTCACCATGGTAACACTGTAAACGGGCCGGCCAGAACCTCTGCCGTGTTATCAGCAGCGACACCAGAACCAAATCGATCTGGACCTCCAGAACGTCAAGCCGCAGCGATTCAGGCAAAAGGAGCCTGGCCCGGTTCTCAGAGCCGAATCTGAACTGAAGGTGAATGATTCGGATCCGGATCCGAATCATTCACGAATGAACGAGCTGGAGACCAAACCCAACAGATCAGAACCCGTCTCCTTGTAGAACCGACCCAGATATGAACAGAACCCCCTGAAAACCCACAAGCTGAACTTGACCGGTTCTGTCCGGGATCTGACCCGGTAACGCTGGGAGACTCACCGGTTCTGGACTGGAAGTTCGCTGCCGGTTCCGGTTCTGGCTCGTCGTTTACAGCCGAAGCTCCTTCCGAACCGCCGGTGCCAGACGCTGTTAATGGCTGCTCGGCTCAGCTGGCAGGAAACACTGCGTCACTGCCGGTAGGATTTTCAAAATAAAAGCAAAGACCGGAAACGAGGAAGCAGTGTGGTTGGTGGCGGTAAATGCAGCTTCCGGTTCCCAAGAAGAAGAAAAATAGAAAACCGCTTTCATTTTTCTAATAGTTTCTTTTTACTTAATGAAGAGAATTTCAAACAGGAAGAGATTTATGATCACACATGATACGTTTCCCTCTCCTGACTCCAAAGTCCGGATCAGAACCGGATCAGAACAGAACCGGGTCCAGGACATAGAGACAGGAAGCCGATGATGAATGAATCTTTATTTGGAAACAATAAAAACTGAAGGGAACAATAAATACTGAGTATTGACTATTGATTGGCAACATGCTGAAGAATGTAAGGCACATGAGGTCTGCTGACCTTCTGGCACCAGAACACCTGGGCAGGTGAGCCAGAACCATTAGGCCAATCATCTGGCAGCAGCAGCAGGAAGGGGCGGAGCCAGGGCTCATCAGCTCTTCAGCTGCTTCCTCTTCTTCACCAGTTCAGCCAGCATCTTACACCGGGTCACACATTCCTCCTGGAACCAGAACACAGAGGGAATCAGGTCAGAACCAGAACACAGAGGGAACCAGGTCAGAACCAGAACAGGGTTGTCTCACCTTGGTCTTTCCAGGGACCACCTTGGCGATCCGGCACCGTTCTGCAGTTCCACGGGGGAACTGCTGTAGGGCCAGTTCTAGCAGCTTCTGCTGGTTCTGTGTCCAAACGGCCATGTTCTCCTGAAGCTCCGCCTCCTCCTGTTCCTCCACCGCCGCCGCCGGGTCAAAGTCCTTCTGCCGCCGGCCGCGGACCTTCCCCTCCAAGCCGTCTGCACAGGAACTCTTCTTGTTCCTCCTTCGGAGCGCCGCAACAGCAGCTTCTTCCTCCTCCTCCTCCTCTTCACTGACCCCGCCCACTCTCTGAGTGATGATGTCATCCACAGGAAATG